GAGGAAGGTCTTTCTGGACTGCCAGTGCCAGCAGCACCCGGGGTGCACCAGCCCTGTGCTATGGAGCCACAGTATGTGGGGGGCTTCCCGGCCTCTGCCTGGGCGTCCATTTTCCAGAAGCACCCTCAGCTGCTGCTCTTGCTGAACGCCTGGGTGACTCGGGAGATCAAGCGGTTCTTTGGCGGGCAGAGCTTTAAGGTGTTCATGCTGACACGCATGATCCTGGAGGCGCTGCCCGTCTACGGCCTGGATGAAGGCATCCTGGTGGCGGTGCTGCGCCCCGAGCTGCAGAGCCACGCGTCCAGGTTTGTGCGAAGGCTCCTTGAGGCCACAGAGAAGGAGTGCGTGGACGAAGCGCTGAAACTCATGATCCGCCGGGAGAAGGGGCACAGAGCCAGCGACTGCTGGTCTGAGTTCAGCTGGTGGCAGGAGGGCGGCCCTGTGGCCAGCACCAGCTGGACGGCCTGCCAGGAGCTATGCAAGGGCAAACTCGTGGCGAGAACCAGCTCCTCTGGCAGCCAGCACAGAGGCGAGTGGGTCAGCAGGACCAGAGTGACCCGCTCTGACCGCCCCGGGGGCTGGGAGCAGAGCCCCGAGCCCAGCCCCAGCCCCGCTGCCTGCACGCTGGGGACCCCTGTGCCCGGAGCAGCCCCCTCCAGCAGCGCGGACACAGATGCGCTCCCGAGCACCTCGACCGCTGCCGTGCAGGGGGGTCCTGCCTGCGTCCCCGCTCCCACCCCAGCGCAGCAGGAAGATGCGCAGCAGGAGCCAGGGCAGGCTGTGCCCGGGGCCTCTGCTCCCCTCCGGGGCAGGGCCCGCTCCAAGCGCAGGCCCCACCGCGCGCGCAAGAGGAAGACCAGCAGCTCTCAAGACTCCGCTGCACCCGCCAAGAAGCTGCCCCGCCAGTGATGCTCGAAGGCGACACCAGCAGTGGCCGAAGGAGCCGGGCCAGCAGCAGGGCCACTCGCTGACCCTGCGGGACCAGGGGGCTCCATTTTTCACCCACAAACCTTCCTCGAGCTCTTATTAAACACTTGAACATCCCAGAAAGCGTCTGGCGTTGCTGTCCAAGTTTCCAGCTGAGGATGAAGCATCCTCCTACCCTACAGCCCCCCCTTCACACGCACTTCATCCTTCCTGAGGGCGCTTCAACACAGGGCCTTCCCTTGGAACCATTTCTGATGGTTTGGGGGCAGCAGAGTCCGGAGGAAGGCGGAATGCTCGCTGCCCTGTAAAGCGCAGCTGCAGGCTGCACAAGGGGTTTAATTTCCCATCCTAGTGAACCATGTCCACAGTCCTCTCCTTGGGGTGTGATGGCCACGGTGGGATTGGTACAGCTGAAGAGCTGAAGATGCCATGTCCCAGTTCCTTCCTTCACTGGGAGGAGGGCGTCTCGCTGGCCGGTGCACGGCGCATGGCGCCCACAAAGCTTTTCATTTTCATTCTTTGTTTTAAATTCTCATTTCGTTTATTTATTCATTTATTTTTCCTTACGAAGCTCAGCTGCTGTCTGAGACAAGGGCAAGGGCTCAGCAGCATGGCCTTGGTGGCCTGCAGTGGGAGATGGTGCAGGGCGGGGGACCAGATCCAGTCCTGCGTTCGTCATCACTCAGCACAGGCAGCCAATCTCCTAGGAAACCATGGGAAGGACTCGGTGCAATTACAGACCCCCAGTTTTCCCCATTTCCCACCCTCCCCCCAGACCTGGGAATCAGCCTTAAAAAGAAATGGCACTGTAAAAACCCAGCTTTGGTGAATTGGTTGGAGGGGAGCAGTTCCTGGCCCTGTGATTTTGTGTGATTCCTGCTTGGGAGGAGAAAGAAAAGGCGAAGCAGGTGTGAAGGAAAGAGGCAAATCCCCAGTGCTGCTGGTTCAGCCCCTGCCCTTCCCGTGGTGACCAGTGCATCTCTATGGAGAGCTGGAATGGCACATTCTGCCTAGTTGAAACCAGACATTTTTCCATTGTTGGTTTGTGGAGGGAAATTTTGCCCGTAGTGAGAGGGTTGAAGTAACCACCTCAAACATCAGCCCAGCCCCAGGTATGTGCAGGCCTCCCAGCTTGCTCAGCACTGCCTTGGAGCCTCTGGTTGTGTTATTTGCTTTCACTGTCTCCCGAACTCCAGTAAAAACCCCAGGAATGACATGCCACAAAGGCAGGATGTTTTCCAGGAGGTATTTCGTATCAGGGAAAAACCCATTGGAGTGTCAGAGCGGGTATCATGGTGTTCCCCCTTCAATGGATATTAACCTCTTGTCCTGCCTTTGAAAGGGATTGGAATATAGCTTTAACAAAATTAATAATTGCCCAGTATAGGTCTGGATTCATAAACAGAGGCTCCTAAGTGTGCTGCTGCTGGCTGGGGGAAGGATGCCAGGGAGTGTGGAAATGTCATGGAATTCTTGCTCAAATCCAGCCGGCAATCACTCCAGAAATTCCCCAGTTGGGGCACTGCATTTAGGAAACCCCATTCCCAGCTTAATTATAGACAGAGCCATGGAAGGAAAGGCAATCTCATCACACAGGCTTTACAGCTGCCACTGTAACTATTGCCTGACACTGGGAATCCTATTCCTCGTAGCCATCTGTAGTGGGAGCAGAGCTGGGAAATAGGGCAGGTGCCCTGTGCCTCCAACGCCTCCCAACAGAAAAGCCTTGCCTGTATGGACCGCTCCTCTTTGTATCCCCTAGCCATAACCTCTGCCTTCCTCAGAATCCTGTGCTGGTCAGGAATGTCCAGGATGTCTGCATCCACGGCACCAGCTGGGCTCTGCAGAGCCAGGACTGCTGTGACTCTGTGCAAATCCACGTCATCCCCTGCATCCCAGGTGCTTCCCTGACACCTTCAGTGGCTGCGTTTATACTCTGAGAAGCCAAACCCAGGTGGTAACCACGCTCCTTACACCACCTCATGGTGCACAGGGCAGCGCGTACAGGAGACACAGCCGAGGGTGCATCGTTGCAGCAAGGGTGGAAACCCTGGAGCTCCGTCCCTGACTGTTGCAGAGCTGAATATTGATGTTTCAGTGCTTTTTGGATCCAGCCCTTGGAGAGCGGGATTGGCCTGCAGCTGCTGGGAGTCCTGGCCTAGGGGATTAACAATAAACCCCTAAGCCTGGCTCTGAAAGGTTGCCCGGCGTGTAACATTTAGAAGAACCTCAAAATGTTATTTCAAGGAGTATTTTTATTTTTTTCTGCATGGGAAAAGCAAATATCTAAGATGCCATGACACAAAAGCCCCCTTCCTGACTCTCCCCTGTGCATGGGGATTCATGAACGGTGGGGATGCGGTGGGAGGAAGCACGGGAGCAGAATGGCAATGGCAATGGCACTGTCGCCTTTCATTCATTAATGTCCCAGAGCCAGGGAGGATGCTGGAGCCACACGTGGGGCAGCTGCACATAACTTTGACATGCTTTATGAAGGTGAGAGCTGTTGACAGAAGAGATTCACACCTCCTTGTGTGGCGTTACCCTCTCCATTTAGGGTGGTTAACCCTGAATTCTCTCTCCTTAGACTCACGGTTCCTCTCTTGGGAGCAACCCAAGGGGCACAGAGTGTGCAGCTGCAGGTGAGCTCAAGGGGTCGCAATAAGATTCCCAAAATAGTGTTAAATGCACATGCCAAAGGCTGGCTCCTGCATCCGTCACCCCTCATAACTCCCTTCTGAGATAAGAGGTGCTTGACCTGAGCGATGATGGAACAGTCGACTGCAAGTCCTGCGCATTTTCCTCCATCCTTCAAGCTAGAATTGCCACTGACAATGCTAGCACCCGTGGTTAGCCTGCCCTCGGGCTCCACTAGCATGCGTTATCCATCGCCAGAGCTGGAGCCTCTGGGCCAGTCACCAGCACGCAGGCTGCTCTCTCAGTCTTTCCAGCAAAGATATTTTTTTCCCCAACTCTAAAGAGCAAAGCGGAGACAAAAGACATGGGTAACTCCTGCTTCTTAATACTCCTGCTTCCCTTCTCTTACATCTCCTTCTCGACAGGCTGGAGAAACAGGCTGACAAGAACTGCAAAGGTTCAACAAGAGCAAGTGCAAGGTTTAGTCACATCCACATGCATCACAATTTAGGAGCAGGGAGCTGCTGTAAGAGCTCAGATAGAAAACCAAAGTGGTATTCCATTAAAGAACATATTAATGTTTGTGGGGTTTCTGTAATTTAGACTCCACCAGACACACACACTCACACAGCTCAGAGAGTAAAGGAGCCGGCAGCAAAGCCCTCCTGCGGGTGGTGGGGACCCTGCTGGCGGGGGGAGGCAGCTCCCAGATGACCCCTGGCTCTGGCAGCCTCTGCCCCTCTCCCACTGAACGGCCCCAGGGGACACAGCACCGCAGCTCCTGGGAGTTGGTAAACCCCAAATGGGTGGGGATGGGCCACAGATGGAAAACAATTTGGATTTGGGGAGGATCCCCATCCCCTCTGGACTCCCCAGCTGGCTCCAGAGCACCCAAACATGGGGAGGGGCACCAGCAGAGAGGGGAAGAGAAGGGAGCGGAGGGAGTGCCAGGGCTGGAACAAAGGTTTGAACCTTAGGAAAAACGGCAAAATAAAGCCAGGAAGGAAAGGCTGCAGAGATGCAGAGATGTCCATCCAGCCTTGGGGGTGGAACTCTTCCAGTAGGAAGAATTTGGTTCACCCCATGCCACCCTGGGCGCTGCCACCCAGCACGGTTTCTTGCTGGCAGCAGAGAAGGGGCCTGACCCCATCACTCTGGTCCTGCCTCGGGGCTGCTCTGGACCAGAGCCCCGCAGGTGGGGGGGCCAGCAGCACTGGCCGTTACTTATCATGGGAAAGATGGATCCGTGCCTTTAGCCCCTTGTGCGTTCCCTGGGTCCTGGATCTTGCCTGCGTCGAAGAGGCAGGGGTGGATGAACCTGGAAGCACAAAGTTTTGCTCAGGTCTCTGCAGCCGCACTCTCAGCTGGCACCGGGGCTACCACAGTCCCTATCCCAGGGGGAATGGAAGGTTTTCTATTCCCAGAGCCAGCAGCAGCTACCACCCGAGCCGGCTGCCACAGCACAGCCTGGCCCTTCCGCCATCCCCCAGCCCAAGGGGACAACACGACCCATCAGCTCTTCGAGGCTGAAGCACCAACTCCCTCGCTACCAGGGGAAGCGACGCCTTCTCCAAGGCCTGAGGGGCGCTGGCCAAAGAAGGGTGCAGGAGTTCCTGGAAAGCAACACGCCACTGTGAGCCGGGGTCAGCGAAGGAGGAAGAGCCTGGCTTTAGAGGGCTGGCAGCACTCGCAGGAGCCGATGCATCCAGTGCATCCAGAGGCGGCAGGGAGTGACATTTCAGATTCCCCTCCACCCCCAGGGGCTGGGGACTGGGGCAGCAAGTGAGGGAAGCAACTTGCCTTCGCATGGCAAGGCTCTGCACAGCCCCAGCACCAGCCCCTCAGGGCTGCCGAGCCCGGGCAGCTCAGCCAGGTCTGGCAGGAAAGCTGCTGCCTAAATCTAACCCTGCCCTTCAGCCCCGCAGAAGCCCCGTCCGCCCCGACTCACCTCCCAGCACGGGCGCGCTGCCACTTCTGGGCTGGCTGGAGTCAGTGAGGCCGCTGGTGCTGGAATCGGCCAGCCCAGAAACCACCGATGTTGTGGTCACAGACGCTGCCCCTGTGCGGCCGGTGCCTGAGGAGCCCTGGGCGATGGCTGTGCCCAGGGACGTACCTTCCCCACTGGTGCTGGGGACCTCATCTGCTGGGAGGGAGCAGGAAATCAGGACCCACAACTTGCTGTATGGGACTACCCCTTAGCAGAGCCTCCCAGCAGGAACAGCTCACAGATCTGGCCCTGGGGACCTTTGCCCATCACCCTGGCGACTGCGGGGCACGAGCTCTCCCACCAGAGTCTTCACCGGGCTCTAGGAGTTTCAGACCCGAGGACCAGGCAGCACTGGCCCAGGAGGTTCCTCAGCCTGCGCTGCACGGACACCCCACTGCCCTGCCAGCCCGTGCCATGGCCGCCTCCTCCTTGCCGTGCCCTTCACATTCCCACTCTGCCCTTACCCGCCTTATGCCCCAGGAGTCGATGCAACCGCTGCTGCGCTGCCTTCCTCTCCTCCTCTATGATCTCTGCCATGATGGGGTAGCCGGGATCAGGCCCAGGGGGCTGCCAAGAGAGCAGTAGCTTAGTTCCTTCTCAGGGAAGCCGGCAGAGCCGCTCTGAAGGAGGTGTGGAAGCAGGCTGGCGCCAGAGCCGGGAAGCCGTGGTTCTGCCACGGCCACCGCAGAGCTCTGGTCACCATTCGTTTTGGTCCCCAGCTTGGCACTGAGGGCACAGCACCCTCGCCCAGCCAGTACCTGCTCTGGCAGCGGGCAGCACAGTCACACACAGCCCACCACACACTGGGGCAGGGGAGAGCGTCACTTCCCACTCAGCCGAGGATGAGACCTCCTGCCCCAAGGCAGGCAGGTCAGCCTGCCCCCAGCCCTGCAGGGATTGCACCGGGCACATTCCGTCCCCAGATGACGGCAAAAGAGGCTGCGAGACAGCGACGTACCAGCACCAGTGGTTCATTATCCCAGGGCACCAGCAGGCAGATGCTCCTCCTGCGTGGCCTTCCGTTTCCCTGCGATGGTGGTGGGCTCGGGGTCTGCTGCCGCTTCTCCTCAGCCCTCTCGACAGCTACAGGAGGAGACAAGTCAGGAGCAGCTCCCAGCAGGGGCGTTTGGCCTATACCAAGGGGGTTGTCCCTTCTCACTCCTCTCTGGGTCCCCGTCTTGGAGGGCAGAGCCAGGGACACGGCCTTCAGCCGCGGACAAGGCTGCGATGCCCTGGGGCAGCAGCTGGCCACCAGAGATCCACGGGGAAGCTGTCACAAGAGCCTGCTGGGGCTCCACGGGCCAGCGGCCCCATCCCACCTCCACAGACGCTCCTTGCGTCTTTTGGCTCCTCCGTGCCCGTCCCTGCGCATTGCCCGCCTCCCGTTCGCTTGGCAAAGTCCCTCCGGAGGGAAAGAGCGCGCGGCGGCCGGGGCCGGTGTCCCCTGGGCCGAGCGAGGCGGGAGCTCTGCGGCGGTGCGGGCCGCGGGAGCGGGGGTTGCGCTGTGGCTGGAGCGGAGGGGGGCGGGTGTCGGTGCGGGGGAGCGGGGCCGTGCCCGTGCGAGGGAGCGGGGCCGTGCCCGTGCGGGAACGGCGGAGCCGGGGTTGGCCGTGCAGGAGCTCGGGGGTGTGTGGAAGGTAAGTGCAGCGGGGAGGATGTTGTGGGGGGTGCTGGCCGGGTGCGGGGTCAGAGGCGTGAGGTGGTTTCGGGGCAAGGGGACGAGAGGTTTGTGTGAGGATGTGCCGTGGTTCCGTGGGTCGGGCGAGCTCCGAGCAGGAGTCACTGGTGCGTGCGGAGGGGCAGGGGTAGGGCAGGCCCAGGGGTGAGGGGCGGGGGGGCGGCTGCATGGGCGGTGAGGCCCGGGGGAGGTGGGGGTGTTCCATGGGGAATTGCAGGGGTTGCCCGGGGAGGGGGTGCGGAGCGGGGTTCCCGGGGTGCTGCAGGTTCCAGCGACTGGAAAGACAGCTCAATGTAGACTTGTTTCCAGGGAATGAAATGGCTTTATTAACCTTTGTATTTCTAAACTGCAGGCATGAGTAATAGTGATGGTAATACCCTAATTTTCTGTTGGTGGGCTGGGAAGCAATCAAATGGGCATATTCTCTGGACACAGTTTTGAGATTAATGTCCTTGGTTTCCCAAAGGAAAATGTAATGATGCTGAGAGTCACATTTGCAATGTAAAGAAAAAGGGGTGTGTGTGTGTGAGAGAGACAGAGAGCAAGACTGAGATGGGGTTTACAGGAAACAATACATGGTCAAGAAGTTTGTTTCCTTCTGTGTGCATTTGCCAGGGGGGTGTTTCCTCATCCCCTTTGGCACTCTCCCCTGAAAAGGCATTCAATGGCCCTGGGAGTGTCCATCACCTCCTTTGTGAGCATGTGAGGGCTGTGGAAGACCAAACCATGCTGACACTGGGTGAAGAAACTTGTGGTGAAGTCCTATTTGAAATGAGGCAGTGAGTGTTAAGATACAAGGTGCTTAAGGTATAAGGCTTACAGAAAAAGGGTTGTCTGCAATTTTGAGTTGCAGGCAGAAACTTGTTGGAGTCCCCAGGAATTGTTAGCTGTATTTTAAGCTACCTGCATGAGGCTGGGGTACTTAATGGTCAGATTTAAAATCAACTAAAATTGATAGACAGGTTTAGAGCTCTCCAAAAACTTCCTGGAACTTTTAAGGTGTGAAAGATTCCTATAGGAGCACTGTGCTTTCATCTGCAGCAGCTCATTTGGCTGGGCTGGGCTGGGCTTTGACCTCTGCTGCTGTGGCTCAGAAAAAAAACTTCCTTAAATGTGGATTTGTCAGAGGGACACTTGTCCCTTTCCTTCAAATCTTTCTTCTCTAAATCTTGTCCATTGAAAAGGGTTATAATTCATAAATAACATTACAAGAGCTCTTGAGGCTTGCCTTTTCTGGGTAGGACTTGGGAGTCCCTGCTAAATAAGGGCGGAAGAAAGCAAAGTTCCTTTAAAGGTAAGCTCAGGCTGGACCTTGTGTTTGGCTGCACTGGTGTTCTGTGGGACAAGCCCCGCAGGCTGGGCCTGCAGCTGCAGCAGCTCTCCAGGTTCTTGCTTGCAGTGGTCAGTGCAGTTTGCAGTGGCTCTCAAGGACTCACCTTGTCCAGTGTCCCCCTGCTCTGTGTGAAGAGCAGCTTTGGAGAGTGGGAGCTGCTTTTTCTTTCCTGTTACAAGGTGAGCCACAGTTTTGCTTCCTTTGCTGATACTTGTGTTGCCAAAGCAGGCCCAGTCTTCACCTGTCCTTGTTTGTGTGTCAGAGGTGCTCTTCTGACGTCCCTCTCTTGCTGTTGGGTTGCAGAGGCTTGGCATGAGATGGGGACTGCGTTTTGGTAGGTGCTGTGGATGTGCAGGTGAGATGCCATCTTTCCAAAAAGCTCTCTCAACAGAAGAGAGTGGCACTGAGAGAACAGAAGTAGCATTCTCTCAGCTCTACAGAAAGAGCTGGATGCTATAACATGTCATGAAACTGTTTCTGTGTTGCATGGAGTGCTAACATGTGTTCCAAACCATCTGGATTTTTTTCAATGTAATTGTGAAAAACTTTTTCTTGTAATAATGCAGTGAAGCTTTTGCCCAAGGAAATGATGTTCCTCTTTGCCACTGGCAGAGCCTTTGCCAGTGTCTGGTGGCAG